TGACCCATTGTCACTGGTTCTGGCATGAAGCCAAGGAAAGACACACATTTGTGCCACGACTGTTTTACCAGTCTATTCAAACCCACTGCAGGTATGATTATCATCTCAAGGGCTTTACTAACTAACTCACTGGCAACTTTTTTTTTTTGTATCATTCACATTGATCTTTCCTCCCCTTCAAATTTTTTATCAAGTTGTTTATGGGGCATTTGCCTACAGTGCTTTTGGAGGTTTTGTTGAAAAACAATTTATTGCACAAGAAGACTTCATCAAGATAAGTAGAATTGTTTCCACTCCAGTACAACAGGAATTCCTAGACATTCTTGGCACATACCTAAATCTGTACAAAAGAGAAAGTGTCTCATGAGTAATTTACCATTATTGGCAAAGATGCATGGTACTTCTCCTGCCATATATGTCAAGGCATGCTACTGCCTTTTCCATTCACACTCACACAGAACTGTACAGTAAACACATCCAGTGAAAAGTTATTACTACAAGTGTACCTAATGTAGCCTCAGCTAAACGAAGCAGCTAGAACTGTATGACCAACCAGCTGTCCTCAGTCAACTGTGAGCTTACTACAGCAGCTCTATACACAACTTTTTTGGAATATGAGGTGACATGAGAAACACACAGCTGGGATAAGGGCTGTCACTGAAGAAATCACGATCTGAAGCCATGTTTTGAACACCACCAAACCTCTCTTCATTAATACGATTATATGTATCCAAATTACTTAAGCTTTCATTAGGACTTCTTGTTCTAGGAAAACATGCTAAGAGGTTAGGTAAAAAGCAAACTTCCCTCTTTATGTCTGATATTCTATCAGTTAAAAGCTTTAAACAAATGCACAAATCCTGTTTTTAAAGGAAACATCAAAATGAAACATCTGCAAGCGAACTCTTTGATTGTACGTTTCCCTGAATATACACCAAGGATTAAAAGTACTGCACAGTATAATGTGACAGTTCTATGCCCTAGTAGGTCACAGTAAGAAAGAAATATTAGCCTCTATCATTCTGCTTCTGAATGCTTTTGCTTGCTGAAAGAGCAACTTAGAGAAAAAATGTTCTTCAAGTTCTCCATTAAGAACCTGAACTTAGCCAAACCTATGCAGTTCTTCAACAGCCCTAAGCTGTCTGTAGTTATTCATTTATTTAGAAATACCTTTTCTGCTTGTTTATATGGGTATGTGTGACAGTGTATCTGGTATTTTAATGAAAGCAGCTTACAAAAAGTTTTGTTCAGCATCATCCGCGAGACTATCCAGAGATCTTTCACCCTTATTGACACATCCTCTTTCACAAAGAAAGCTTCAAGTACACCAGTGAAATGAAATCAATTACTTCAGGTGAGCTAAGATTTCATATGTAAATGATGTCACATATTTCAGTGTCGCTAATGTGAAATATGAAGTGAATTATGGAGTGTAACATGATTTGTTTGAACTTAGACTGTGTATAATCTAAGTACTGAGAAAGACTGAAACAACACGATCAACAAATTGAGACTCTTCAATTCATATGAAATTAAATTCTGAAAGCTCAGGAAAATTAAAAGAGGCCAGGGTTTTAATGCAGAATTTTCTCTATTTAGTATACTTTGAAGCCTTCCTTGTGCCTGCGAAGGACTTCCTATTCCCATTTCCCTGCTTGCCTTTCTCTCCAGTATCCCAAGAAATACCATTGCACTTCCTCTGTAGCAGTCTAGCTGTCACAGATTTTTCTCACTAAATCAACACACTAAAAATACTAGAGAAATGTTTTATGTAAATTATTTCCTTTCATAGAAATATTAGGGAACTACTATTTTGAGAAAGCTCTTCAAACTCACATTTGGCTCTGAATTGAAATTCCCGTTCAGAAGGCAGGGGGGAGAGGGAGGAACCCCACCTTTTGTAAAATGTTAGCTCAAAGAGTATCCTACCACGAGGAAGAATTCATCTACACTGAGACATTGCTTTAAAAGACATTTTCAGATCTCTTTCAGATATTAATTTTCTAG